GGAATCGCGACGCTTGGCTCGGAAGAAAAAGGTAGATAGTCCAATAAATTAAATACGATTCTAAAGAAATGTAATCGTATTTTACTTAGTTAAAATTTTTGTTGGTAAACAAAGTTTTGATTCCAGTGTTTTGTGTTGGGGTGCGAAGTCAGAAGTACTCCACGTGTGCCTGGTAGTTGCGGGTCCCTCTCGATACGTCTGGAGGGAAGAGCAGCAACTGGGCCGGTGCACCCTGGGCGCGGCGGTAATCTTCCTCGAGAAATGAGAAGAAATTCTTATTCCTTGGGGAATGTTGCTGCCGCGGCTAATTATTCTGACATGGGGGGGGGGTCCGTCCCGGACCAACAGTGCGTTCCTCTGCGTGACCCTCTGATCAGCAGAGGGCATAGCAGAGGAGCGAGGGTGGGCTCGGTGTGCACTTACCCTGCCTCCGAGCAGACAGTGAAGGATTCAGCCTTTGCTGTCACCGCCGGTCTCGTAATCCCAGTATCGAAGTGTCGTGGATCATGTCTCGCGGCTTTGATAAGGACCGAGGGTCTTGGCTTAATCGCCCGGACCGCGAGGGAGAAAACCTCTATAAAAAGTTACTCCGAATCCCAAGCGGCGACGCACCGCGAGGGGATGGATGGCTGACGGGGTTCTATGAACAAATCAGCCGCAAGTGCGCTCCTCGCCAGGGTACCTGCAGACCCCCTGGCGAGTAATAAATCCTCTAAATCTGCTTACCTTGGTACAGGGGTCTCTGCCAAGGTGGACCTTTAATTCCCAAAATGGAAAACCAACAAAAACAAAAAAAAAACCAAAACCACCGGTAACGGCAACGAAGAGGGAGAGGAGAAACGATGCGGGGACAGAGTCCGACGCCGCATCGAGCGGCGTGGGAGGCTCAGAGAGCTCCCGACGCGTGGGGCCTGGGACCGCGGAGACCCGTAAGTTCTTCCGCAAGCGGTCCAGGCGGGATGGCAACCAGGGGCCGTCATCCGGTGAAGAGGAGGTTTCGGCCCGGAAAATCCCCACCAACAGGCGGGGCGGGCTGAGAGGCAAGGGGAGGGGGCTCTCTGACAATCAGATGGCCGAACGAGCGGCAAAGCTTGCCGAGGAGGGGCGCCACCCGGGCGACGAGCGACCTAATGCGGACGAGGTGGCGAAGCTGCGGGCGGATGTGGCCCGCCTGACGTCTGCCATGGAGACTCTCCAGAAGGAGAACGAGCAGCTCCGCGCAGACCTGGCCAGTCTACGTGAGCCTGCCTCTCGCGCAGCGCCCCAGACGCAGCGCCCAAGCCAGCCCGTGCCGGTGGAGAACCAGGTTCTGAACCTGGTCCGGCAGGAGCTGGCTGCCTTCCAGCACCGGTTCTCCGTGCTGGAGGGCATCGTCCTGCCCCCCCCCCCCTAGGGGGCAAACAAGACGGCGGCGAGGCCGGCAACGTACGTGGCGGCCACGGCTACCGCATCCAGGCCGGGGCTGTCCAGCCAGCCGGGCGGGGGCTGCAGTTGCCCCTCCCCCCTGAAAAACCGGCTCCGGCAAAACCGGTACCGGCTGAACCGGCTCCGGCTAAGCCGGCGACGGGAAAGAGAGGCAAGACGAAGGCGAAAAAGGGCAAGGCGGCAGCACAGGTGGTGGCTGCACCAGCCCCAGTGCCTGCGGGGAATGTGCCAGCGCCAGCGGCAAGCCAGCTGCCGCCGCCGTCACCGCCCCCCCCAGCTCCCTACACCTCCCGCGGCTGAAGCCGGTTGGCAGGTGGTCGGGGACAAAAAGAAGGGGAAGAAGGCAGCCAAAAAGGCCAAAGAGCAGGAGCGGCAGCGCCAGTTCAGGGCGCGCAAGATCGCGGCTAGGCTCCGCGCCCCGAAGACCGCAGCTGTAGTGATTACGCTACAGCCGGACGCGGAAAAGAAGGGCGTTACCTACCGCGATCTGCTCGCGAAGGCGAAGGAGGCGCTGGATCTCGGGGAGCTCGGGATCACCGAGAGCCTCCGGCTCAAAGTCACCCAGACGGGGGCCCGTATGCTGGAGGTCCCCGGGGGAATCCAGTGGCGCGACCGCGGACGCTCTGGCTGCGAAGCTCAGAGCGTCTTTGGACGCGGACGAGGCCCGAGTGTCCAGGCCCGTCAGATGCGCAGACCTGCGCATCATGGGTCTGGACGACTCGGTATCGGAGGAGGAGTTGGTGGCCGCCGTCGCCAGGTGCGGGGGGTGCGCTACTGACCAGGTCAAGTCAGGCGCCATACGCCTGGACCAACAGGGTATGCATGCCGCCACGGTGCGCTGCCCTGTTACGGCGGCCAAAACCATAGTGGAGGGCCGAAGGCTTCTGGTAGGCTGGGTCTCAGCGCAGGTTAAGCTGCTGGAGCCCAGACCTCTGAGGTGCTATCGCTGTCTCGTGGGGCACCACGTATCAGTGAGATGCGCCTCGGAGGTTCACCGCAGTGGCCTTTTCTTCCGCTGCTGTCAGCCCGGACACATATCGGCGACCTGCTGCGCCACGCCGCACTGTGATGCATGTGCGGCGACCGGCAAGCCAGCCGATCACCGGGCCGGAAGCAAGGCCTGCGTACCACCCGCCAAGGCCAAGGCCGCGGGTAGGGTAGGGGCCAAGGCCGCCACCGCCTCTGTGGCCTCCGCCGCAGCCGCAACTGCCACCGCCACCGCTGTCACTGTCGCCGCCGCCGTGACACCGACGCCCGCAGAGGGGCCCCCCGTGGAGGAAGCTGAAATGGAATGCCTATAACGGCCCCATTAAGCTTCCTGCCTAACTGCCTAATTGCTAAGCTGCATTAGGGAGGCACTCCGGTATCACCGGGTGCCGACCTATCTCCGTCGTATAGTCAGGGACTACCTGACGGACAGGGCCGTCATCTACCCCGGTCGCAACGGTGAGTGGAACCGGCGAGAGATGTCGTGCGGTGTCCCACATGGTTCGGTTCTGGGGCCACCTCTGTGGAACATCGGTTACGACAGGGTGCTGCGCGCCGACCTCCCTACCGGCGTCAGCGTAGTTTGCTACGCTGACGCCACGCTGGTACTGGCACAAGGGGGGTCGTACGAGGCGGCGGCGGAAAATATGACACGCGGGGTTGCGATAGTCGTTGAGAGGATTCGGCAACTGGGTCTCGAGATGGCTCTGCACAAGTCCGAGGCCATGCACTTCCATGGTCCTCGGAACAGGCCACCATCGGGATCCTCAGTGATGGTAGGAGGGGTATCCATCGGCGTTGAGTCGACGCTGAAGTACCTAGGACTCGTCCTCGACGGCCGATGGAACTACGTTGAGCACTTCCGACGTTTGGCTCCCAAACTGGAACGGACCGGGGCTGCCTTCAGGCGGCTCCTGCCGAACCTGGGAGGGCCAAACGCCTCCTGCCGGAGGCTCTACGCGGGGATCGTGCGGTCCATGGCCCTTTACGGGGCCCCGGTGTGGGCGCGTGGTTTGGCGCGGCTTGCCATCCACCACCTGAACGCACCCCAAAGGGTGATTGCCGTGAAAATGGTTCGCGGCTACCGCACGATTTCCCGCGAGGTGGCGAGCCTCCTTGCCGGATTGCCGCCATGGGATCTGGAGGCGATAGTCCTCGCGCACCTGCACGAATGGCGCGCGGAGGCACTATGCCGTGGGGAAATCCCGCTGCCGTGGCAAGTTGTCGCGCAGTGGACAGACTTCCGGTACGATCTCATGGCGACATGGAGACAGCGACTGTCGCAACGCCGTGCTGGGCACTCCACTATAGCGGCGATAAGACCCCTCTTTGAGGAGTGGCTTGAGAGACGCCACGGCATTCTCACCTTCCGCCTAACGCAGGTCCTCACCGGACACGGTGTGTTCGGGAGGTTCCTGCACCGAATCCGGCGGGAGGAAACGCCCGGGTGCACCCATTGCGAGGATGGACCGGAGGACACGGTGGAACACACCGTGGAGGTGTGCCCTGCTTGGGCGGAGCACCGTCGTGTCCTCGTAGCGGCGATAGGCGGCGGCGACCTCTCGCGTCCGGCCCTGGTCGTAGCCATGGTCCGGAGCGAGACGGAATGGGATGCCGTCACCACCTTCTGCGAAGCAGTGATGCTAGCGAAGGAGGTGGCGGAGCGGGAGAAGGAGAGAGCAGCAGCTTTCCTCCCTGGCCGCCGCGGGAGACGCCCCGGGCTTCGGGGGCTACGTCGTGGCCCCCCGGCCACCGTAGGCGCGGGCCTGTGGACGGCGAGCAATGGGTAGCTCGCCGTCCGTCCGTCTAACGACGACAGGCCGTGTCGACGGCGCGTTTTGTTCCACGCGCGCCTCAAAGAGCTGTCAGCAGCGTGAAGGGGCCCGCAAGGGCCGACGCCTGCCGGTGCTGCGGGCTGTTCGAAAGAGATAACGCGGCTCCGGAACGTAAGGGCACTGAAGGAACACGGATGGTTTTTAGTCAGTAAAAGTCTGACACTCCCTTACGCTCCACCCAGAGCGAAAGGCGTCATTAGATGATTTTCCATCCGCAAAAAAAAAAGTGTTTTGTGTTATTTTAGTTTAAAATATTTTAAGCTAAAATTACAGCTTAAAATATTTTATTACAAAAGGCAAGTATATGTACGTAAGTAGATACTTGGATAGTGAAGTAATTTTCCAATAAATTTTGTAATAAAGTTCGTAGATATTAAACAATTATTACTTAATTCTTTTTTGCTATAAGTACCTATCTAACAATAAAAATTAAATAAATTCACGTTTCATAACTTCCCTACTAAAATCCTTCGGAAATAAAGAATGATATATCTGAAATATTTTGTTGGTCATTTAGCGTCTATCCAAGCAACAATTATAGTAGGAACGACGTTTTGCAAAAAAAAAAAAAACACTACGTTTACTGGCAACAAACAAATAGTAAAATGTCAATTTACAAATCAAAATTGAGATAAGTTAATGAAGACCGTTGGTCTTTGATTCGTTTTTTTTGGAACGATTATCAATTATTAGTGAATTTCAACAATTTATCGTTTGATTTCAAGTGATTTTCTATAACATTTTTTTATTATCATGTACATCAAGTCAATTGTTTTGGACGGATTTAAATCGTATGGAAATAGAGTTGAGGTGACCGGTTTCGACCCAGAATTTAATGCTATCACTGGCCTGAATGGCACTGGGAAATCTAATATTCTAGATTCTATATGCTTTGTACTAGGGATCACAAACCTTTCTAATGTAAGTTACCGTTATAAAAGTTACAAAGTTTTCCCGCCAAAATAGCAGTTTTGTTTCTAGTATTCCTTGTCTTGTCTTGTTTTATATTTATTAAGGCGTAGCTATTATAAAAATGTATGTTTTACCTGGTTTTAAAATTCTGGGTTGGCTTAGCAGGTCATGAATTTACTATGCTTTCTCTTTCATTTTCAAAATGAAGGAAATAATGAACACTAATAGTACAGTTGCTCGCATTATGCTCTTTATGATTTTAATCATTTAATTATTTTATAAGTAAGCGGGAAAACGGACTGATCCTACGTATGCAACACATGTGTACACACTTAGCCTATGTATGCAACATACATTTGACACCACACTCTTTTCACTTCTTAGTGGAAGCACAAGTACAACTTTATACCTTGTTTTCTAATTTTGAGAGTGTTTGAGAATGATTTACTTAGTCTAATATTCATAAATAAATATAATTATATCCATTTTACAAAGGAAATGTTTTAGTAGTAATTTTATTTTTATTATGATTTATAATGGAAACAAAAATATCAATATTATGTAGAATACAATGTGTTATTTCTGCAATATTTATAAAATCATGTTTCCTATTTTAACATAACTGGGATTGAAATACAACAAGCTATTTTTTTAAATTTTGCAATACATAACAGCACCTTTCTATCCCAAGGACACTGTTACTTTGAATACAACTACTTTTACGGATTTTATTGCGTTTGATATGCTTAATTTTAATATCTGTCATGGGGGACTGAGGTGATTGATGTTCCGATGTCACAGTTAACCCGAAGCACCTTTAACTTTTTAATTATTACATTTGGTCCGATCTACGTAGAATGAACTTACTGTGTCTTGAAGTCTTGCAGTGGTATGCTTGGGCTTATGGGCTAGTACCCAACCTGCTTCTTTTGTTTTTAATTGGAATGTTTTTAAATTTAAAAATTAATAAAAAGCTAAAGGTACATACTGCTCTTGTAAAAAAGCGGTTATAATGACTCTGTTACACCACAATAAACACTCTTTATTATGTGAAAGGGCCTCTATGCATCCAATATGCCTGGAGATGTGGGGTCAGTATTTTTGAAAATCCAACCATATAGCACATGAAATAAAACTTTTCGTAGTACAGGATCCTTTTTAGTCTTGACTTCAATCTTCGCTGCATCCAAGTTTAATCCAGAGGGAGGTTCCTCAAAAAGTAGCACATCAGTTCACAAATTTATCTCTTGTGCTCTAAAGTTTATTGGTTGAGAGCTTTTTCTGTTTACCAATGCATTTTCCAGGTCTATTTGTTTCTGTCATATTCATAACACCAATTTCAACCATCACAACATTCTAGGTGAATTCTGATCTAGAATAGCTTTATTCAGATTAAACAATCCGTTTAACGGCTTGTAATCTTTTGATTGATGATACAAAATTTCCTTAAAAGTAAAAATTCATGAAATTTTGTAACCAAAAAATTATGGCTTCTTTATCTATTTCTCCATTCCTTCTCTCATTTTATTGTAACATTATGCAAGCCATCGTCACCGGTCTTTCTGACCCATTCTCCAACACATGAGCAATTATTGCAGCTACACCATATTCCTATGCATCACAGATTAACAATATCTTTTTTATCCATATCCAACTAAGGTTTAAACCAATGACAATTAAGGATTTAAATAGTTCATCAACCTCCTCATCTTCTGTCCAACATATGTCAGCTATTTCTAAGCATAAATTTTTAACCAATATTCCTAAAAGGCCCACAACCAAAAACAACCAGTAGCTCACATTGTGCTTCCTTGTTTCCTAATGACTTGAACATGAGTTTGACCTAACACTTTCTGTTCATCGTGGGGCCACATAACCAACTTCATGCCTGTTGCCTTTAAAGGTGGGGGAACAGACCATAGCTTATGGTATGTATCTTCAGCCATGATTGTCCTTGAGGCACCCGTGTCCGATTCACCATTATCAACATCTGCTTTAACTTTAAATGGTGGTAGAATATTATCTAAGCAGATATATATTTTATTATCATCTGTTAATTATTATTCATCATCTGTTCGGATTTTTCATTTCCTCTATCTGAAGTTGAACTTTCCTCCATGTGGTGCAACTTGCCAGATTTCTTTATACAGGCCGGCGCCATATTTCCAAACTTCTTACAATAAAAACTCTTTTGCTTTAATAAAAGGACACCTTTCGCCATCGCTCTGTGACTGTGCGCCACAATAAAATGTCATTGCCTTAATTTTACCAATATCCATAGTTACTGTGGCTGTTGAGAGAGTTTGCTTCAGCGCACTTGTTTCCAGAGAATGTGCCTTGATAGTTGAGGCTTAATTGCACAGCTGACTCATAAGTAGGATTTTTGTTTTTACAACTTGTGATGGAGATGCTCGTTGCGCACTCCTAACACTAATTGTTCCTGTAGCTGTCTTTAAAATTACAGCTGGAAGACAGAGAGCCAATAGTTGCAAAAAGTCCTAAATACTTTCACTTTGATTTTTTTGACATTTATGGAAATTACAGTTTTTAAAATTTCAATTACTTGAGGATCATAGATATATATATATGTGGTAGAGCCATGCTGCAGCTATATTAGTAGTATAGTTATAGCACAAATGGCTTGGCTCGACTGGGGAAGGACCACACTCTCACAGAATACTAGCGTCAAATAGTATAGGCTTAATGATATAGTAAGTAGTAGTAAGTTCAACTTCAGCTTAATGCTGCAGTGTTTCGTATATGAGTGTAGAGAACCGGAGATCCTTTCTACTTTTACTGGAAACAAGGCATTCCATCTAAGTCCTCACGGGTGACAACGCATCTGCATTTTGATTTGTAATCGAGCATAGATGTAGATGTTTATGGGCCACAGCAATCACTTATAATCAGGTGGACTGTGTGCTCGTTTGTCACCCTATCCTATATATATAAAAAAAATAGAATTAGTCAAGCATTGTTAAAATGTATTTAAATAACCATCAAAAGAAGACTGGGAATTAGCACAAAGAGTGGTGACAATGGACAAAATCCATTGGGCCATTCATAGTTTCCAACCCTATAAAGTAGCAGGACCTGACGGCTTATTCCCGGAACTTCTACAGTGGGGGGGTAAAGTCCTAATAGTCAGACTTGTTGCCATAATGAGAGCATGTCTGGCTCTTAAATATGTTCCTAGGGGATGGAGGGAAGTGAAAGTCACATTCATACCCAAACCAGGTAAGAACGACTATACAGACCTTAAAACCTACAGACCCATTAGTCTCACATCCTTTCTCCTAAAGACGATGGAGAGGATGCGTAAACGCGAGTTGAGAGGGTCGGCGCTAATTAACTTACCGCTACACGAAAAACAACACGCCTATAGCTTAGGTAAATTAACAGAATCGGCACTTCACCAGGTAATAACAAAGATTGAAGGGGCCATCCAAAACAAAGCGATATGTCTAGGCTCCTTCATAGACATAGTATAGGTGCTTTTGACAGAACAAATTTCTCCAGCATAAAAGGTGCTCTAAGTAGACATAATGTTGAACCGGCACTGATTGACTGGATAGTAAACATGCTCAGTACACAAACAATAAAGATTGCTGGTGAATCTCAGACAATTCAGATCATAAAAGGATTCCCGCAGGGTGGGGTTTTTTCACCTCTCTTGTGGGATATGGTCATTAATGAACTCATCAGCAAATTAAACGCTAACCATTTCTACGGTTATGCAGATGATCTGACAATACTGGTCTCTGGTAAGACAGCAAGCATTGTGAGCGACCTGACCCAAGCGGCTCTCAGTAATGTGGAGAGATGGTGCAGGGAATATGACCTAACAGTTAATCCAAATAAAACGGTTATAGCAATGTTCTCACAAAAACGAATGCTGAATAACTATCATCTTCCAAGTCTTTTCAGCACAAAACTCCAGCTTTCCTCCGAGGTAAAATACCTAGGTCTTACCTTGGACAGTAAACTTAACTGGAACAAACACATAGAAAACAAAATCAGCAAAGCTAGTTTAACTTTCTGGCAATGCAGAAACATGATTGGCAAACGATGGGGTGTAATATTGGGAGGTTCGGAGAATAAATGATACGTCTAGTGGTCTTGACTGTAGATTTATTACTGACTGAATGTTTATTAGGCTATCATATATATAACTACACGAGCATACACTACACACACTACACGCCCATCGGCAAAAAGAAAAAAAAATGAATTATAATTTTTTTTTTCAATGAATTACAACTTGGTGTAAAAATCAAAAAAAATTGTACATTATTTTAAAATATTAATATTCGTATGCCCACTATATTATATTTATAACATAATAAAATTAAAATAAAATATCGTAAACACCGTAATTTAAAAAAATATAACTTTCTATCTCTGTATTTAAATTTTTTAAACAATCATCAAATTCCTTACGTAATTGTATTGAATCTTTAAGTTTTTGTTGTGAAATAATTTTAGTTCGCCTATCATTACTGCATAACTTTTTAAAATTTTCATATATAATTATTAATTCACTAGACTGAAAATACAATTTTTAAAACAAAATTATAGTTATCAAAAATATTATAAGGTGTTTACAATTTTTTTTATATTCTTACACTTAAACTATATTATTCATTTTAAATCTTAACAAATCTATAAGAAGCTAATGCCATTGAAATAGTATCCTTACTTTTAAGTGGATAAACTTCAGCATACTTATTTAAATCACACTGCAGTGTGAGTATATAAACATTATTAAAACTATTCTTACATTAGAGCCCTACTAAATCTAAATAAACTCTATGAAAAGTGGAATATCCTATAAATCGGTTATAACCATTGGTACATAATTATATTTTTATTGATTGTTTATGTTGCAACACTTGTCACATCGATTTGCATAGTTAGTAGGATGTTACTAATTATGTATGTAGTATCTAACTCTGGTCAAAAGAATCTTTTCTTTGCATTACATATAGACCGTTAGTTGGCAAAAATGA